CCGACTATTTCTTCGAGTTCGGATACTGGCCACCACAACTTGAACAAGTTTAGAACATGTCCTTTCAGGAATAAGGGTGACTAGTTCTTAAAGTGTATGAGAAGTGTTAAATCTGAGACATCTGAATTATCGAAAATAGACTCAACTACTAAACCACCCCTATAGATTAATTTTGAATTTAATGATGTAAGTTTGTTCTCATCTTTTATTAATATCCAATCCAGACATATAATTGATATAAGAATAATGACTCACCTTATTTCAGCCTTGAACAAAAAATGATATATATTGAGTATGATTAAATATTATAGTTTGTATAGATTGCATTGATTGATACTAATTGTCCAATATTATCTCTTGTTGTTAAAATATATATGTTTAAGTTATAATCTCCTTAATGATTTAAATTTTTAGAATAAATGATGGCTTAACACGGTAATAGAATAGAAGGCCACCCCGAGAATTAAATAGTTTTTATGTGCTAGAATTAAAATCTAGCATGCATGTAAAATGGTGTATTAAAGTATGACAATTTAAAAGTTTAAACGGCAGTTTAATAATTGTACATGAACCAAACACCCACACTATGTTTAACTTAAGCAAATTAATAATAAATTTGTGATGTAAAAAACTAACTTAATATCTTCATCTGATGATGTTTTTGATAAAAAAAAAATTCAATAATTACAATTACAATACAACAATATTACTTTCAACAAAATTTTTACTAAGTTTTGGATCCCAAATGAATGTAAATTATAGGATTGGTGAATCCTACAAACTTTAAATATCTAATGATTATTAATGTGTCACATTATTTGAGAACTAAAATTTGATGGGCACAATATTTTCTAATTCTAACCATATCGATTGTGACAGTGTTATCCACTAAAGAGCCAAAACCACCAGTCCAAACCAACCAGCCAGTCCTCCCCCACAGTACCAAGGCATATGTATGCTCCTTCATGCCATTTTCTCACTCTTGAACCAATCTGTTCTCGGGGTGTGTTTACATTGCTCTAGAGTTTTGTAAGTGTTGCAATGAGGAAACCTTGCTGTGACAAGGAAGGCACCAATAAAGGAGCATGGACGAAACAAGAAGACCAGAAGCTCATCGATTACATCCGAGCTCACGGTGAAGGCTGTTGGCGCACCCTCCCCAAGGCTGCAGGTTTCTCTCTCTCTTTCTCTCTCTCTCTCTCTCTCTCTCTCTCTCTCTCTCTCTCCTGCCTGATTATATATTTGTTTCAAATGGATTAGGATTGCATCGTTGTGGCAAAAGTTGCAGGCTGAGATGGATAAATTACTTAAGGCCAGACATCAAGCGAGGCAACTTTTCTGAGGATGAAGAGGACCTCATCATTAAGCTTCACGCCCTTCTTGGCAACCGGTACGATCTTCTATGTTTGTATGAGTACAAAAAAATGAAAATGACAGATTGACAGTCTAGCGTAGGAGAGTCCTATCTCCTGTCTGGATGATTGTTGAGCGGAAAAATGCATGTACATAACAAAAATTTTATCAAATTTTGTTAATCAAAAACATGGGCAGGTGGTTGATGAGCAGGTTGTAAGAATAAAAAAATAAAAAAATTATGAGGCTCACGGATCCAACGCTGTACATGGATTTTATTTCGAAGTTAATTTGGTAAGAAATTTGCTAAGAGTAACATTGTTCTATGACTTGTAAACATTATAATTGCCATTTACAAACCAAAAATAAAGCATTAAAGGCATACCAACTAATAGTCTATAATTAGTAATTCATCAATGAATGATGTTTGCACTGTTAGGTGGGCTCTAATAGCCGGGAGGCTACCAGGAAGAACAGACAATGAGGTGAAGAACTATTGGAATTCTCATCTAAGGAGAAAGCTGATAAGTGTTGGTATCGATCCAAACAATCATCGGATGAACCAAAGCCTTCCTCGTCCACAAAACCGGTGCCTTTCTAGTCCTAGCACATCATCTGAATCATTGTCTGCTCCATCTAAGCCATCAAAAACTGTTGGTGAAGATGACCAATTATCGGATGCTGCGACATGCGTAGAAAACGAAGCATTAGGTTTGCATGGCTTGAACTTGGATCTAACCATGGCAGTTCCTTCTTCTTCCTCTTCGATTGAGAAAAAGAAGCAACAAAGTGCTGAGTTGAAGACGAGGGAAGTAGTTGAAAATGATGGAGTTCCTACCCTTCTTCTATTTAGATGAGTCCATGACTGCTAGTTGTGGACAATATATTTTTTCTTGAATTAATGTCTAAACTATCCTCTTGTCATGACATTTTCCTACCATATTGCCCTTAACTTATTTCTCCCAACTACGATAGTTTTTATGAAAACTTAGGATTTTTTTTTTTTTTTTTTTTTTGGGGAGAGAAGGGGAGGGGAGGGGAAAGGAAACTTGAACTTTTAACCTTAAAAAGACAAAATTTTCACAAAATAAAAAGTACTTAGGTTGAACTCAAGCTTTCAAATATAAAGGTATTTTGCAAAATACTTTTCTATTGAAAGCGTATTTTGTAAAACACATTCATATTGAAAACTTTATGAAAACTATCCTAGAGTGGTAATAAAGCTCCACATTGGCAGAGAATTGTGAAAAACTCAGTCTTTCGGGTAACAACCAAAATTTCACATGGTCGAAGAATACTTTGCATTGGATGATGACAAAGCAGAGAATTCTCTGGCGGGTAACTACCAAAAATTCACATGGTCGAAGACATTGATGGTGACATAGCACTGAAAATCTAGTGAAGGTGTCAAGTCAAGTGTCTTAATTAATGTTGCACTTCTATTATAAGGACCTGGGAAGTGGAAGTATATTCATATGTTCCGTAATTTTGGGATTGTAATTTTTTAGTGTAATGCTAGTGTAGGAATGGCATAAAAAGTCGTAATTCATAGCTTATTTTCTGAATATTACACTAAGTTCATATGGTTAATGCTAAATGCACCAGATATATATGTGATACATTGAGCAAATGATTTAAGATGATGCCCTTGGCTTTACACTTTTTCCCTCCCTGAAGATTGTAAGGTGCACTTGTACAATGTGCTAAAAGCACTGCAATATAGTAGCTTCCATTTCGAAGATCTTGTACAAATGGCTCCACCTTCTCTTTTTCGCCTTCTTTCCATGTTGACTTAGAAGGGCGGAAATAATTGTGGGTACTTGTTTACATTTTATTTCAATAAATTGAAATATTTGTGGTTCCACCTTTTCTCTTTTTCCTTTTTCTTCCTTTCTTTCTTTCCCTCTGTGCTTCTCTCCTGTCATAAGATCTAGTAATACGTCAGAGCATCTCCAATGAATATGCCAAATTTAAATTTGAAGGTTTATCCGGTAATTTGACATATAACCTTACATTGTATTCCAACCGATATGTCAAAATAATTTATTTTATCCAATCTTTATCTTTAATTTTGTTTTTATATTAATTTAATAAATATTTAAAATAAATTTTATATGAAAAATAGTATATATTTTATTGAAACTACAATTCTCATTAAACTTAGCTAATACAAATTTAAACAACTATTAAAACTACAATTCCAAAATATAAATTCAAGTCAAATTATATGTTGTTACTAACCCCATGACATTGTCATAAGTGCTCAACCAAATTAGTTTGGAGTTGAAAATGTGGAAGTGATTTCGAATTTTAAGGTGTGGTCGCACGACACAACAAGTTCTCTACTTTCACTCTCATTTGCATTGTAATTGAGTGGAAGGTTTTCACCGTGTTCATCCTCAACAATCATGTTGTGCATTATAATGCAAGCTTTCATAATCAGCAAAAGTGTTTGACAATTCCAAAAATGAGCAGGCCCACAAACAATTACGAAACGTGCTAGGAGCACTCCAAACGCTCATTCAACGTCTTTCTTTGGGGACTCTTGAGCTGCAGCAATTTTTTTTGTCTTTGGCCGTTGGGTGCATGCAATTGTTTTCACAAATGTCACCCATGAAGGATAGATGCCATCAGCAAAATAGTATCCCATTGTGTAATCATGACCATTAATTGTATAATTGGTTATAGGAGCTAGGCCTTCAACAAGGTCGTTAAATAAAAGAGATCGGTTCAATACATTGATATCATTGTGTGATCTTGGCATTCCAAATAAAAATATGTCATGTCCAAAGGTCATATGAAGCAACAGAGGCTCATGGTGGTCTCGGGGAACGTACATACATTTTCATGCAGTTGGACAATTCTTCTACTTCTAATACATATAGTCGATACTACCAAGCATCCTAGGAAACTAACGTTTGTCACCTTCTGATAGCGACTTACAAATGTCGGCATTGTTTGGGCATCTCAAGTACATGTCACAAAAAATTTCAACAATTGTCTGAACAAACCTTTTTAATGATTCAATTGAGGTACTCTCAGCAATCCTCACGTAATTAATTATCTATAGCATCTGTTGCAACTCTATAAGCAAGCACCTTCATTGCTGCAGTAACCTTTTGAAGAGGTGACAAACCAAGATGACCAACTCGATCTCTCTTTTGGACAAAGTAAAGGTCATGAGCTTTCACTGAATTCACAATTTGAAGAAAAAAAGATTGCCCCATTAAAAACCTCCTCCGAAATTGGATTGGACTGTATGCTAGATTTGTTTTGCAAAATAATCATAACAGAATCTTTGATGACTTACCATTCGTCCTGTGTTGATACAAGCATGGCCTTTAATAGAACCAGAATGTACTTTTTTGTGTCTCTCTGTTTTATCCTGTTCTTCTTGCAAAACAACCAAGTCCAACAATTCCAATTCGTCATCAGACTTAGAATTAATTACATTGTTCCAACTCTCGTCCACTGTGTCGAAAGAAGAATTAGAAATGTCCAGTGACATGTAGTGAGTATTCAAAAGTATTGAGAATTTGGGATGTATTGATTTAGAAAAATAGTTAGTTATATATAAGAAATCTTCCCAATGGCTAGTTTTATGCAACGACTAGTTTGATCCAACAGCTACAATGACTAGAAAAATACTTGACTCAAACCGGTACAAATTGTCTTTCCCTCTGATGAACCGATACAACTTGTACCTGTACAAATAAAGCCTTCTCCGCTGTTTTGCTGCAATGCTTCTGATTCATTATCCAAATAAGGGACTGGCAATTCCAAGTACATATTTTATTTATTTAAAAAGTAAATTTCGAGTACAATACAAACTTAAACAACTACTAACAGCGTTAAAACAATACATAATATTATACTGTTACGTGCTACTACCACCCCCAAATCCTCCACCTAATCCGTATTTTAAAATTTCTCATTTTTTTGGGAATATTATAGTTTTTGTTCCTCAGACATCGCAGTTGTATCCATGCTCATAATAACCATTTCCATCTACATTTTTTCTAGTTGCACTTTTTTTGCATCTTGCTCAATCTTCTACCTTAAAAGCTTTATTTTTATTTCATCCTTTTTTTGTTTCTCTTCCCGCATATTTTGGATGAGCTCTACAATAGGAGTGGGTACATTGCTAGCGGTTTCTTTCATCTTTCTTTTCTCAGCCTTCCTGCTTGATGGTCTTTGTGTTGGGTTTCCCTCCTTTGTGGGACTCATCAATTTGCTAATTTTTTGGTGGCTTACCCGTGTATGACTCTTATCCAAGACTTGGTTTGGAGTCTTCAAGTTAAAAAGAATTTGGCAGCCACCAAAGACTATAAGTTTTGTCTTTTTCTTTGGTTCATCTCTTCTCTGTTGGTTTGGCAAGAAGACATATTTTCGGCAGTCTTTGGTTCAACAAAAATTCAACCTTCTTCTTCTCCTTTTTGGTGCCAGAAAAATCTGCAAATTTGTTCTTCAAGTGGGTAACATTTCTTCACTTGATATTTGGGTTTCTTGCGGTTTGTTCTTGGAGATTTGGTTCACTTATTTTGTGAGGTATTTTCCTCTTGTGATTTACACCTTGGTGTGTTTGTAAGGCTTATGCCTTTTGGCCACTTTGTAATCTGATTTGGTGATAGTGGAAGAAACTGACCTACCGGTCGTCGTGGATGTACCTCAAGTTATTTGAGGGAACCACGTAAATCTTGTGTGCTTATTTATTTTCTGTTATTTTATTTATATTGCTTCCATTGATTTACACTTGTGGGAAAGCCTATTTTCCCAACATCTGGTATCAGAGCAATTGGTTAATTCGGTTCCGATTCGTTATATTTCTGTGTGTGAATTATGGACGGCAACGTTGGACGTATGGTTAGTTTCAATGGCACAAATTGGGTGACTTGGAAAACTAAAATGGAAGATCTTTTATTTTGTAAAGATTTGAATGGACCCATAGAGGGTGATAGTGGCAAACCGGAAGGGATGAAAGATGACGAGTGAAAAAAGCTAGACCGGAAAGCTGTCGGTTTTATTCGGCAATGGATTGATGATAGTGTCTTTCATCATGTCTCTACAGAAAAATCTGCACATGGTCTTTGGACCAAATTGGAGAGTTTGTATGATAGAAAGACGACAGTGAAAAAAGCCTTTTTATTTCGAAAGCTTGTGAACTCTAAATATAAGGAGGGTACTTCTATTGCAGAGCATTTGAATGAGATTAAGAGCATTGTGAATCAGTTGGCCGCCATGAAAATTACTTTTGATGATGAGTTGCAAGCTTTGTTACTTCTTAGTTCACTTCCCGAAAGCTGGGAAACTTTGGTGGTCACAGTTAGTAACTCCGCACCTGATGGAGTGGTAACAATGAGTCAAGTTACCAGCAGTTTGTTGAATGAAGAAACAAGAAGAAAATCATCAGGTTCTTCTTACTCCGAGGCACTTGTAATGGAAAACCGGGGGAGAGGCAGGAGTAAGAGTAGGGTTCCGCACAACCGTGATAAATCTAGAGGTCGTTCAAGCTCGATGTCAAAAAAGGATGTTGAATGCTATTATTGTCACAAGAAAGGGCACATGAAGCGGGAATGTAGAAAACTCAAGTTCAAGGAGCAGAACAAAGAGAAAAATTCAGAGAAAAAGCAAATTGATACAGCTGTAGTTACCGATGATGAACTCATGATTATCCGTGATGATGCTAGCGTTAATTTGATTGGCCAAGAGACGGATTGGGTAATTGATTCTGGAGCTTCATTTCATGTTACTTCGCGGGCTGATTTCTTTACTTCTTACTCACAAGGTGATTTTGGGAATGTCCGTATGGGAAATGAAGATGTGTCAAAAATTGTCGGCATGGGTGACATTTGCTTGGAAACAAATATTGGATGCAAATTGCTGCTTAGAGATGTGAGGCATGTACCAGATATTCGACTCAATTTAATCTCTGCTGGAAAGTTAGATGATGAAGGCTACATCAACAATTTCAGTAATGGAAAATGGAAGCTCTCCAAAGGTTCTCTAGTGGTAGCAAAA